AGCAATCAAATGTTTCAGGCAAAACTCATTAGGACTACAAACTAGAGCGCACTTGTGTCATATTTAAATGACTAGACTTAATACAAGTTGCTTTCATTTCATATGGTATCTCATGAAAAATGCAATGGAATGAAATGACAAGCATCATTTGGTGATCCATACAAAATCATGCATAGGCTAATAATTTTTCTTTTAGGAAAAAAAAAGGAAAGGAAAAGATCACATGCTGGCATGTGGCATATATTCATATTGGCATGTGGCATATATTTGTAACTGTGCCATTTAATTAGGTGAACACACACACACACACACACACACACACACACACACACACACACACACACACACACACACACACACACATATACTATATATATATATATATATATATATATTTAATGAACAATTATGTAGGCCTATAGAAGAATAGATTCTCACTGAAAAGCAGAGGCAAGAGAAAACTGAAGTTTTTCTATGGGCTGATACTGTCCTCTAGTGTAAAAAATAATAATAGCATAAAAGCAGCTAAGGGAGGTTTTATATTCTGTCAGACTAAATAAATGCACCACAAACCCCACAGACAGGTTCAACAGGACATATTTTATCCAAAAAAGTAAAACAAAACACATTTAATTAAAGGAAGGGTCCAAGGCATTCATTGAAGATATCGAAATCAAACTTAATGCAGAAGGCCAAAAGATAAACTGAACTACTACGAAAGAACAGTATAGCTACTTTAAGATTATCCTCAGACCTTTTAAATGCATGGTCACAAACACAAGCTTGTTAGGTAGCTAATGTTCATGTTCATATATTGACGTCATATTGTAGCCTATCAAATTTTTCATTTTTTTCTGCTTTTTTGATGTTTTCTGAAGATTGTTCTGCTCTTGAAATTGAGGATAGACCAAACCCTCCTCATACTTGTGTTATTATTTCTCCTGTTGTTATTTCACTTATCTCCCCTATGCCTAATGTAAAGGGCATTCAAGATATCGTTAAAAGAAAAGCAATATTTTTGTTTTGCAAAGAAATGAAGACAGATTTCATTTTTTTTACAAGAATCCCACTTTAAGTCCAGATCTCTGGTTAGCAAATGGAAATAATCATTCAGATGGTGTCAGCACTTTGAAAGGCAGCTTTAGAGGGAAAGTTATTTGTAACCGCGTCCTCTAACTGACGCTTTCCTTTAGCGTCAGTTAGATGACGCCGTAGGATCGCGTCATGTAAGTGACGCTAAAGGGCGCGTCAAATATTGAAGCATGGTCAAAGGTGACGCCTTGGGGTGAGAATGCGTTGATAGTTATTGAAACTGGCAGTAATTTGTTTATATTATGCAATGTTTATGGATACAACTCTTCATCTTTGAATTGTGATTTGTTAGACACAGAAGCAAATGTCAGTATTCTCTACTAGAAACTAAATTTCCAATGGCAAAGATTTTAATATGGTTATAATGATAATGTTCTGGCAGCTTCATGGAGGATTCAGCTGTGGGTGTCATCTTTGGTCAGATGTGGGAATTCATTTGTCACAACCCTCACAGTGCACTATAGGTATTATAGAAGTGAGTGTTCGGCTACGTCCGAAAACTTAAAACATGCTGCCTTCAGAGGATGTGTTCCAAGGAAAGAATGCATCAAGGCACATCTGAATCCAATGTTAGCTTCACTTCCTGTCTATATGTATTCCTTGCTGCCTCTGATATCCCACAACCCTGTGCTTTCCATTCTGTGACAGTTGAGCTAAAAAAAAATGCCATCTGAAAGTTGTAGTTGGTTTTCAGTTTGTACAAATGCACTTTTTCTGTCCAGTGTATTCTACTTCTGATGTAATTTCTTGTGAGAAATATTTGTATTAATTAAATATGCTTAAAGCTTTCTCATTTTGTTGTAGATCATTAAACCATCACGCTGCCTCAGAAGTCTTTCCAAAATCAGTTTCATGATATTTGTGCGCAAATGCTATGAAGACATTGTAAGGCAGCGCAGCAACAACTCAGCTGCCATAGTTTTTGATACAGCCTAGATAGGCTACACTCGGTGCATTATGGGATTGTCCACTATGTTGCCTGTCCAAACACCACACTAATACCCACAGGGCCCCCTTGTTATCGTGTTCTGGGGGGTGGCCATCTTGATTGAAATCGTGGGGAGCTTGGTAATGTAACTATAATGTGAAGATACTTTTGGTAATGGAAGTGATCTAGATGTAACTGAATGAAGTATAGTGTTTTAGGGCAGGGAAGCGATGTAAATGTTCATTAATGTTATAATGCACTTGCCTGTCCTTGAAATGTGTGTCAGAAGACTAGGTAACTTTAAAGGAGTAGTTCACTTTTAAAACACTTTTGCTGATAATTTACTCACCCCCATGTCATCCAAGATGTTCATGAAAGGTGTTTTTGATAAAAACATTCCAGAATTTTCTCCATATAATGGACTTCATTGGGAACCAAATGGTTCAAGGTCCAAATGAGAGTTTCAGTGCAGCTTCAAAGGGCTTCAAACGACACCAGATGATGAATAAGGGTCTTGGTTTCCAATTTGAATAAGAATAAGGGTCTTGGTTCCCATTTGTTTGGTTCCCAATTAAGTCCATTATATGGAGAAAATCCTAGAATGTTTTCATCAAAAACCTTAATTTCTTTTCAACTGAAGAAAGGCAGACATGGACATCTTGGATAGCATGAGGGTGAGTAAATTATCAGCAAAAGTTGTTTTTTTGTTGTTTTTTTTTAAGTGAGCTACTCCTTTAAGAGTTGAAAAGCAGACATAAAATGTAGTGCTGAGTACAAGTGTATTTAGCGAGTGTTTTGAGTGTGCTCAATCAAATCGAAACAGACAATGTCACACGGAGGGTGAGCAACTAGACATCACACAATTGCAGTTTAAAGTAGTTAAAGTCAAAAACCTAAACTTAAAAAGCTTCAGGGCATGTCTAGCTTCAGGCCAACAAACCATTGTTTGAAGTTGTGTCAAAAATAATTGGACTGTGTTGAGGCAATGCAACCCATAATAATGAGCTAAACTAAAATTTCTCTTGTCACACTGAAGTAATTAACAACAAAAAAGATCATTTAAATTGACAGTGCTGAGACTTACAGATGCTGAAATCCTCTTTTTAAGTTGAGATGTTTTGCTCTGAAGCAACAAATGAATGTTTTCACTTCACAAAGGCTGAATAATGCAAGAACTTCTGACAAAAGTGTCGGCCTCTGAGGTCGGGGCCCTAGAAACGTCCCCACCTTTAGCCCCACCAGCAAGCAACGGCACTGAAAGAAACGGAATTAATTGAAATGACTCTTTACATTTTTGTTGAACCAAGAGAAAACCGCACACTGAACACAACATCTCATCTTTGTTCAAGTCAAGAGTAGTCTGTCCAAAACTGGCACTGCAAGATGCACTTTACTCTTCCCAGCAAGGTAGATGAAAGTGACACAGAAGTGCTTCTGAAGTGGCATTTAGTTATTTTTACACAGACTGCTTAATGGTGCTCAGAGGTGGCATAATGCATTAGCACAGCAGTTACAACAGTATTATTTTATACTAGGCACAATTTATTCTGTTTTTTTTTTTTTTTTTTTTTGTGGCATTGCATGTACATTTAATTTTAAGAATTGCACTGGGCAACTAACTGAAGTGGTTTAGGCTGATATACCAAAATTACATGGGGCAACTGTACAGCAATCTATATAGCTATTGTCATGAGAAAATGATTATAATAAAGAGGCAGTGCGTTGGTCGGATATATTGTTACAGTTATGAAAAAATAACGTTTTTACAGCACAGCGTGGACATGTAGGCTACAGCACATGTCGAGTACCTAATTGCTTTTATTAAATGGTTACCACACAATACAAACCACATAAAAGCCATTAATATACAATATAGGCTATAGGCCTACATTAAATGCCATCCTTCTGCTAAAAATTAGTCCCTGACATTGACAGTAAACTGCAAGAGAATGTTTCTATAGCATGCCTCATATGGAGCTCAAATTAAAACAGAGACTCAGTTGGTGTGTGTTTAAATTATAATTTTACACAATATATGATGAGCCTGCCTTACATCTGCTTATTTTGTAGCATGAGAAAACGTCTCTTGCATCAAATAGAATGAATGGCTAATTTTAACTGCAAATGAAGAGTTCAGATGCAAAAGCCTCTAAATGCCATTTGAAATTTTCTTCTTTAATGATGATTTTTTATCAAACTTGTATATTTAAGTTCAGTAATTTCACTTAAATAACAATTAATAGGTAATTATCATTGCCATTTAAGTGAAATTACTGAACTTAAATATACAAGCTTGATAAAAATCATCATTAAAGAAGAAAATTTCAAATGGCATTTAGAGGCTTTTGCATCTGAACTCTTCAAATATTAATAATAACAATAAACCTGACTACTTTTGCTTCATCTCTTCTTATAGAGACCAGGAAGGTAGGCTACAACATGAAACCAGACTTCTGCCCCAATGGAAATCATATTGCCACCGTATGAATTGTTCCCTATCCCCTACGTAGTGCACTATGTGCCATTAACCATACTAATTATAAATGTATAAGTGACTTTTAGCTGCAGCTTCAGCTATAATGAAGGGGGCGGTAGATTCTAGAGAGCATCTGACTGAAAACTCAGCGAAGTCCACAGTGATGTCATCAAAATCTTTGATCCTGGCAGAAGTGAGAGACTGTACGTTTTAAATGCTTATATAGGCCTATATATACTGAATGTGCGAATTTTTTCATTGTTTTGGAGCACACTTGCTTATAACAGTATGGCTATCATTCACACTCAAAAACAAAAAAAAAGGAATTAATTAAAATAATTTACTTTATTTTATTTACTTTATGTGGACTGTAAAGTAATAATATTCTATTTAAAGTGAAGTTCATTTTACTCATGATAGCCTATTTGGGTAGTTTACCATCGTACACTCAGTAAAGGTTAAACGCCACTAGAGCGCGCCATTAACCATTTGGACAGGATCTGGTTTGGGGCGGAGGCTCTTGAGCACGTGATACCTCCCATTTCCACGATCCTCTCAGCTCTCGCGCAACCAACGGCCATTTTACAAAGCCAGCTTGGAGAGCCGGTTATCCACTTCTCGTCGGCATCTAATCGTTAGTTTTGAATATAGTGCGCTATTTAGCCTAATCTATTACTCTCGAAAGTTTTTTTAACGGTTTTTCCTTCCCGCTTGTGAGAAAATGTCTCGTGACCGCTCCCGTAACCGTGGAGGATTCCAGTACCGAGGCCGCGGAGGAATGGGAATGGGAATGCGTGGTGGGATGGGAAACCCTAACTTTCGAAATCAAAACCAGTATCCTTATCAAAACCGAGGACACCATATGGGTGGTGGGTTTAAGCCGAATCAGGGAAACCAGCCCAACCAGGCCCCTATAACACAGAAGCCACAGGAATCCAATCAGAACAAGCCAGTAGTCCAGTCACCTCCGGCGCAAGGCCCTGGTCTGGCCCAGCAAAGCAACAACAAAGGCCCTTCTCCTCAACAGACCGCCATCGCCGCTCCGCCGAAGGTCCAGGCTCCGCCGCAGATTCAGTCTCCACCACCACAGAAGATCCAGTCTCCACCGCCACAGAAGATCCAGTCTCCACCGCCACAGAAGATCCAGTCTCCACCGCCACAGAAGATCCAGCCTCCACCGCCACAGAAGACCCAGCCTCCACCACAGATCCAGGCTCCACCGCCACAGAATAACGCGAAAACCCCAGGTATCGGTTCCCAACAGAACCAGATCAGAAAGAACCAACCTAAAGTTGGGTTGGGGAATGGTCAAAAACAGCCTGTTCCCATGAAGAAAGAACCGGAAAACATGCAACAACAGAGTACCACGAGCACCGACGGCTCTCAGCCTCAGGTAAAATATAATAACGTTAAATTTATTCTTGGATTAACGTAAAATAACATTGGTCGTTTTTATTGATATTTTGAGGGATGTCTGTAACGTTACGTTCAATTGAAAGTTGTAAGTTAATTTAAAACACATTTCAGTAGTGCGGGGAACAGGGTCAGATCCGCCATTTTGTACGCTTAAACAAAGGTTGCACTCATTACTGGTCCCCCGATGTGTCGGTCGCTTTGTCTGACTTTTTGACGTTTATTTCGCTTAACGTTAAGAACGCGTTTTGCTATAATTTCTATGTTTTAGTGTGGCCTAGTTTGATAAATATAGGTCATGTTTGTGTTTGCATTGTAAAGTAACACTTATTGAATTATTGAATTATTATACTTATTGTAATATTGCGCTCAAGTTAAGCCCTACGATAGGTTTACCAGCAGATTTTGATTGTTATTGTGTGACTTTTTGATTTTAGGAATTGAAGGCAACCCTGTCTTTGCTGCGCAAGCCTGGGGAGAAAACCTACACTCAACGTTGCCGTCTGTTTATTGGGAACCTACCGAACGACATCAGTGAAGCCGAATTCAGGAAATTGTTTGCAAAGTATGGGGAACCCAGTGAGATTTTCATCAATCAAAGCAAAGGTTTTGGATTCATCAGGCTGGTAAGACTTATAACTACATTTACATTACATTTACAGGGCTCCAGACTAACTTTTTTTACTAGGAGCGCTGTTGCCCCTGACTGAAAATTTTAGGAGCGCAAGCAGAAAATTTAGGGGCACACCTTAAATCAGCTTGCAATGCAATTATTCAAATTTACCCCAAAATAACTGTAATACTGACAAATTCTTTAATAATAAATAGACTTAACATGATATGCTGATTTATTTTAAGTTCACAGGGCTCCAGACTCAAATTTGAGGGCAGCACCACCTCAAATCAGAACCCACACCAAGTTATACAAAAAAAAAAAAAAAAAAAAACTGGTAGCACTGGGGCTGACAATAAATCACTTAGATTAATTTAATTAATTAGTTATTATCACTTATAATGTCTTAATATTAATTAAAAACAAAAGGAGAGAAAACATGTATGTAAGGACTTGGAGTGAAAATAGCCAATAAACATCCTACTGTTTACAATGTTTTTTTTTTTTTTAATTTTTTATAATAAAAAAAAATAATAAGAATTTTAATGTTTAAATAAGAGTTTTCCAACATCTTAAAAAAAATTCGATTTAGGACAATCTTTGAAAGATGAACAAAAAATGTGTTGATCATCACAAAAAAATAAAACTTTTAACTTTATGATATTAGTTTTGAAGAGAAGGACAAAGATTGTTGTAAGTGTTTGTATTTCTGTCACATCATATTTATGGTTAGAGTTTTGCCATGCTGATAACTTGCTGATTTGTGGACTGAAAGCCTTCTGTAAGTGTTTCTCCTGGTTTCCACGTCAGCGCTGTTTGATCTGATATGGTTTATAACAGAACTCTGCGCCGAATCGGAATGTTTCTCACTGGATCTCGTAGCGATGATGTTATTAATTCTGAGGCGAATTTAATGGATTTAATCACTGGATCTGCTAGTAACAGTGTCGCGTGATCGAGATCGGCCAGCGACTGGCAAGTTCGGGGCTTTATTAGCCTACTGTGGTTCGGGGGGCTCCACTATGCGCTGCTCTGTCTATTATTGGTCCAACCTAATAAAAACGCCAACGGTCCGTTTAGTTTCACTTTCATTTAGTTTGTATTCGCTGCTAGGTAACGTGTCGTCGATAGATCGCTTATTGCTCAGACGCACATCAGGTTGTGATATTTGTCTCCGTCTCCTTCCCACATACGTTTAATCGCGCTATTTTTGTCACGGATTCATTGACGCGTCCCTTCCACGCTTACCATGCGTTTAACGTGTGGCAAATTTACCGGTCGCACATGTGCGACTGGATGTAAAATTCAGTCGCACACTCTCAAATTTTGGTCGCAAAATGCGACTATTTGGTCGCAGTCTGGAGCCCTGATTTATTAATTTAGCTGAGACTTTTATCCAAAGCGTCAGCTTTTAGACTTACAATTGCTATATATGTCAGAGGTCGCACGCCTCTGGAGCAACTAGGAGTTAAGTTTCTTGCTCAGGGACACATTGGTGTCTCACCATGGATTCGAACCCAGGTCTCTCACACCAAAGGCATGTGTCTTATCCACTGCGCCATCACCACCCCGCGCCATAACTCATTCCTTGTAGGTGTTAAGTAGCCTATTTTAAATATTCCTTATTTAATTGAGTCTTTTTATGTATTTTAAGGAATCCCGTGCTTTGGCAGAGGTTGCAAAAGCTGAGCTGGATGATATTCCGATGAAAGGCAGGCCTCTCAGAGTTCGTTTCGCCACTCATTCTGCTGCACTTTCTGTGCGCAACTTATCTCCATTTGTGTCCAATGAGCTGCTGGAGGAGGCCTTCTCTCAGTTTGGAGTGGTGGAGAGGGCTGTAGTTATCGTAGATGACCGTGGCCGCTCCACAGGGAAGGGCATTGTTGAGTTTTCTTCCAAACCAGCTGCACGGAAAGCTATTGATCGTATCAGTGATGGAGTGTTCCTTCTCACGTCGTAAGTTATTGTAATATGTACGATGACCATATGGTCTCATTAAATGGTCATTATTTTTACTGGATAGACTTGTAGAAAATATCTTTATATCATTTTATTATTTTTATAGGTCACCCCGTCCGATTGTGGTTGAATTGTTAGAGCAGTATGATGATGAGGATGGTTTGCCAGAGAAACTTGCACAGAAGAACCCCAGTTATCAGAAGTAAGTTCCAAATAATCATGGTTGCAATGTTCAATTAGCTGACATTGAATTTAATCAAGTAAATTCTTGTCGGCATTTAATCAATTAATCGTTTACATCCCCAATCTGTTTCTCTTGTGCATATCGTTTTAAAATATTGCGATTATTCTGTGATTAAAGCTCAATCAATCGCAGCATGAAAATTTGATACCGGCACATGGCTAGTCATAATCATAGATACATTTGTTAATGGGTTGATTTTGCCCTCAGAGAGCGAGATCAACCTCCTCGGTTTGCACGTCCTGGCACCTTTGAGTTTGAATACTCCCAGCGATGGAAGTCCCTAGATGAGATGGAGAAACAACAGAGGCAGCAAGTGGAAAAAAACATACGTGAGGCCCGTGAAAAGCTGGAAGGGGAGATGGAAGATGCCTATCATGAGCATCAAGCGAACATGCTCAGACAGGGTGAGTATTGTCTCTTAAATAATTTTTTTTTTTTTAAATAATGAGATGAATAATTGTTTATGTGGTATATTTTGTTTAAAGACCTTCTTAGACGTCAGGAGGAACTTCGTCGGATGGAAGAAATGCACAGTCAGGAGATGCAGAAACGTAAAGAGATGCAACTCAGGTATGTCTGGTGTTGTGTATTGTGGTCCTGGAAACCCTTGCTGTGATGTTAGCTAACTGAGTGATTGTTCCCACCCACAGGCAGGAAGAGGAACGCCGTAGGAGAGAGGAGGAGATGATGCGGCAGAGGGAACTTGAAGAACAGATGAGGCGTAAACGTGAGGAATCTTACAGAATGGGTGGCTTCATGGATAATGTAAGTAATGCAGTTAGAAAGCTCTTAACATTTAACTGCCATATTTGTGGAAACCTTTTAAATAAAACCATTTCCCTACTTTTTTTTGCAGAGAGAAAGGGAGATGAGAATGAATTCTAGTGGAGGCCTGGGGTTGACTGGTAAGAGGCACTCTAGATCTGAAAACTAAAAAAATGAACATGCTGTTGTCTGCTGATATAATTCATGAATATGTATGTGTGTGTGTGGATAACAAGTGTAATGACTAGGGATCACAATACCAAAATTCCAGTAGTCAGTACCGATACCATTCATTTTACGGTTCTCTGTACAAATTTCGGTTACACAGCAGAATCAGTTTGAACGATTTTTCCAATTTATTTTACTATTTGAAGAAAATATTCAATTCAATGACTATTATTTATGACGGTAAATTTTTGAAAGCATTGAAAGGCTATATGCTGTTTAAACGAAAATATTGATATTGAGGAATATTGCTTATAAAAAATGTCTCAGCACTTTCATGAAGAGGACGCAACTTCACACCCTTCGTGCATGCATGCGCATCCAGAACCGGGTTTGACCGGGTACTTGGTACCTACGATACTTGGTACCGTGAGGTTTACAATTTTTTTAGTACCTACTTGGTACTGAATATTTTGACAACACTGAAAAATTCTATATTTTTAGCATTCCTCTTTGGGTCATCATGACACAGGTTTGTGTTGCCTCACTTTTACGTGTGTCTTCGGCTCCGTTTGCAGTGCAGTCTGCAATATAAATACATGTTTTGTCTCTTAGAGATGCACATTTAGCAGAAACCTGAGTTGACTGTAGTAGTATGGTGGAAGTTAAGATTAAATTTAGGAAACTCAATAGTAAAAATATTGAGCCAAAATTATTTCTGAAAATTAAAATTCAGGGTAGTCTCTCTTAAGCCGAAACATAGCTTGAGAGCAAAACAGTATTAATTCAGTCAAATCATACATATTTTTCAAAGAACAAGATTTTCAAAGTTGATTGGATAAACAAATGAGCAGATTACCATAGGGCCTCCTACTTTTATCATAGTAAATTTTATGGTTCATCGACATCCCATAATATGCATATAATATGCATAATAATTAATAACTGATAATGTCTAAATTTATCAGCATGATCAAAACGTTGCCGAAAAAACGGTTACACAATCTACCACATGCCTTCCCTATGACTGATATTTATTTATTTTTTGGATATTTACCTTCAGGTTGTGGAACGTAAACCTAAATTACTGTGAAATCTTTGCATGCTTTAAGGGTTAATGAAACTAATATATGCCTTTTTAAAAATTTAAACAGATATGTCATTTGGGTCGCCTGGCCAGAAGTTCCCATTGACAGGAATGAAATTTGAAGGGCATCAAGGAATGGGTGGATCCACACCAGGGAGCATGGCGTCCAACGAAATGGTAATGTATTCCTGAGTTGAAAGCTCGAGTGAATGTGGCGGGAGAATGTGTGTATTGAATGCTTGCCAATCTTTGAGTTGAGCTATTGTGGTTCATAGGAACTGAGGCCATTTTGTGTTTGAAGGTTTACAAGTTAGGTGTGGATGGATTAATTGTAGACCCGTCAGTGGGAAGTGTTTTTTTTTTTTTTTTTCTCTTTTGTGATTTTTATTAGTCCCTCCATCTAGTAGCAGAAGCACTCAAGCTCAGCTCCCCTCACAGGTTGCTTTTGCAAGTCTGTCTGCACTAAGGCCCATGAATTTTTATACACCTGCTTGCAACATAACATGTACTTGTAAGTCCTGTCTAAATTGCAAATAAAGACAGGCATGTTTGCGCTCTGTTTGTGTAGCCTTTGAATTAGCAATGTGCGATCTTTTCAAACACAAGTCCTGGTCGATGAAACCGTATGTGGTGAAACAATACCCTATAAAACGCTGTGCCTGTTTATTTGTTTTTATTATTATTATTTAACTGTTGCAAATCCATGTCAGTGCTGCGATGGTAATCGCATGGAAATGCTATTTCCATGCTTGGAGCTCTTTTTTGTCATTTTGAGAGACTGGGCATTTAGTGCAGATAAACTTGAGCAACTTAATCACAAAATGAAGAAGAAATTAAGTTATAGTGACTGTGGCTGAGCTTTCGAGTAGCTGGTTGGAGGTGTCCTGGTTGGCATTTCATTGGATGGTGAGATTGGAGTTGGGTTTGGCCCACATTTGTTGTAAAGTAAATGGATAAGGTGTCTGCTTAAACATGGCACACATTCTTTAATTGTCAAGAAATAATTCTTTTTTTTTCTGGTGTGCTTTGGATATTTCTACTATTTCATTTTAAGAGTTTAAGCATTTAGGTCTCAAGTAAAACGGCAGTTTGTATTATGTAGTTACTTTCTGAAACTTACCATTTAAACCTTTTAAGACCATAATTTAGGGGTGTGCGATTATTGACAAAATATCATCTCAATATTTTCAGGGATTTTGCTAATGTCTTTGCTTAGTGTGTTTTGTGCTGGTACCTTGGACGGCCATGGACTGCTTAGTCCCCTTTGTTAATTTTCATGTTCTGTGAATTTTACCATATCTTAATTTTTACCTTTTTATAAGGGCAATTTTTCTTACCAACTTATATGTAGCCAATGCATCATTTGATTAATATTCAATTAGAATTGGAGACTATTGAACTTGGTATCAACTAAATCCCTCTTTGTAGTGCAAATGAAACACAAGTTGTATCTGAAGTGGCATTAAGATATATTTACACAGAGTTAAATGCTGCTCAGGGGTGACATTCACTTAACCTACAGTTACAACTGCAAAACTGTTTAAAAATTAAACTAAATCACCAGTAGGTGGTGGAGTAAGTCACGGTGAGTGCTCTCTAGCCATGTTTTTGTAAAGTGAGGGACATACTCGATGTCATATTGCACATTGTTAAAACAAAAATGACCTTGAAAATAAAAATGAATTAAATGATATATTATAGTAGATGATATATCGCACACCCCTATAATGCATATCACAGACCTGTGAATTTCTATTACATGTTTACGTGCCCAAGCTTTTGCTGAGAAGCTCTGTGTTGCAGGAAAGTAATTCAGTAGGAAGGCCAGTGCTTTACAATTTGTTGGATTGTCGAGCTTGTTTCCTGTGTGCTACTTTCACCTCAGTATTTTTATAGCTGAACCTTTTGATTACCCCAGTTAGCAGGCAGTGTTGCTAGAAATGGGGGAATTGGGGTTTCCATCCAATATGATTCAGCAAGTAGGAGTAAAATATCTCCACATTTCAGAGGCATTTAAGGAGTAGAATCTGTAAGTGAAACCTTATGAGCATCTCATCCCGTTGTCAGATATACACAAATCCGCCGCAAACTCTATAGGCGGCGCCATCTTGCCTGCAGCTATTACTGCGTGCTTGCTAAGGGTGAGGGTGTGACACTTGCCGGTGCCCTCTAATGACATTTCAATGAAAGTGGATCCTGCTCATGAAAGAAAATGTCTGGTGAAATGGAAAATTGGTTAGATGTCAGGTAGTGGCCAAAACTTACCCATAAAGGTATTTTATTTACAACATAATGTAGTAATTTCATTTACATTACATTTGGCTGACGCATGTATTAATTGAAGACAACAGTAAAATGAATGCTGTCATTATTAGCTGTGTTGCTAATATGTTCACAAGCTTAAAAAGTTGTAATAATACTATACCCTGTAATAATATTATTTAAATACGAATCCTACATGTTTCGTGTGAATGAATGGTGCAGTCGACGTGCATTTTCATTTAACGCGCGCTGAAGCATGTTTGATGCTTGAGCGGTTTATATGCCAATATGAGGACACGACTGCATGAACTTCCTCGAGACGCGCTTGGTTCTTGCTGAGGCCTGAGAAATTTGGACGCTGCAGCATATTACATATAATAGTTTTTCAGCGTGAGAAACAATGTGTGGTGGGAGAGTGTGTTAAAGAACCAAAAAAAGAATGACACTTGAGGGCTCTGCATCTACTTTACTTTATCCCACCCGCAAATAGACTTTTTTTCAGTACTTCCAAATAGTTTCAACTTAGTTAGCCTATGTGTCTGCTCCATACACAACAAATAATTGATCAGGATCATTTATGCTGATATTAAAGCATTAATACACAAACCACTGCACTGTTAATTTAACATAAACGCAAGCAGGCTACTGCGTGCATGGTTTGGCTTGACTGAATTAGAGGTCGACCGATATGTTGTTGTTTTTTTGTTTGTTTGTTTGTTTTTTTCACGCCGATACCGATCTTTTGAAATCCGGGTCAGCCGATTAAGGCTGCCGATTTATTTTGGCCGATATTTGCTTGTTTTTTAACCTCTATTTGAAAGATAAAATGTAAAAGAAATGATAATTACTTAACATAGGCAAACTTTCTCAACAAAAACATTTTATCCTCTCAAAAAATGTACTGAAACATGTATTTTTGGTTGTTTTGTTTGTTGACTGACAGACATGGACAACCTAATTATCACAAAAAAGGAGAAAAAAACTTTAAATGATTCTGTTTTTTTATATATAAGATTTATGATATTTTATTTAATGTAACTTCTACTAACAATAATGTATTTCACAAGTAAATTGCTGTTGAACGACAAAAACAACCACCAGATGGGAAAATTATATTTTACAAAAACTTTAAATTCACCTCAACGCACCGTCTGTTGTTCTACAAACAACGGCATCCCGCTGTTGGACCTTTTAGTCTACAGTGAAATACAGTCACACTTTACACTGTTTGGCCAGCATTTTAACCATGTTTAATCCAGCTACTAACTAACGGTCAGTGTTGTGCCTGAACGTGTTCATATTTAGGTCTGCTGCTCACTCAGCTGGAAAATGACTCTAGCGGCAGCGTGCGTCAAACACGTGTTCCACAACTAGGGCCCTATGATTTCCGCGATAACGAAATCGTGGCCGGAATCGCGGAATTGGCCAGTAAACGCGGAATCTAGTGTTAACACGGAATTTCGTGGATTTTTACATATTTGGTTTGAAATTCTGTTTTTGTGTGGGAGATGAACGCATGTCTGGTGAAAATGCAGACCGGGGAAGCAAATCCCTCAACCCGTCATTTCAGCTCCAATGACGAACTCAAATCAATGAAAGCATGGTGAAGCGGCTCTCCACGGCTCTGCTTTCATCGTCTAAAGGTTAAGAAACTCAACGCTATAAGCCGCCAGTGCCGAGCCAAGCAGTTCGCATGTGACTTATGCAGTGTTTCCCACACATTGACTTATTCGCCGCCACATACTGCGTTTCGGTTTAACACTATTTAAAACACGCAGTGTATTCGTTCAGTTGTATTTCCTCGCTCTCCCTCTGTCTCTCTCTCACTCACGCGTGTCTGTCTCTCTCTCTCTCTCTCTCTCTCTCTCTTTCTCACACACACACACACGACGTGCACACCGCGTCTGTCTGAGGCGCCGGACTGGACAAAAGCAAAGCGAACTCCGTGAGAGACAGAGTGTGACTTTATTTAAACTTATAGAAACTAATATAATATATATTCCTGGACAGTTTAAAGCTCATAACCATATTTTGTTGTTACTTGAAGAGTGCAGTGTTATGTTGCATCATGCAGTATTTGTCCTGAAAAGGCTACTGAGTAAATGTCTGTATTACCTCAATAAATTTAAGGTCATTCCTAATTTATTTGTATTTTTTTTTTATAAATTTTAATCATTAACTTTAAAAGCATACTATTTTACTATTTTTACAACTAAAATAACAGTCAAGGGTGAAAAAAAAAAAACCTAATTCCCAAAAATTAAAACAGAATTTGGGAAAAAATAAAAACGGAATTTGGGAAAAAATAAAACGGATTTCATAGGGCCCTATACCACAACACTAGGCTGCCCACAGATGTGCCTGCTTAATAATCGGCTTGATATACTTGGAAATTGGCCGCTGCCGATTATGTTAAATGCCAAAAATCGGCCGATTATTCGGTCTACCTCTAGACTGAATGCGCTCAAAGTGCGTTCCCTTAAAAATTCCTAAAAAGCTGACATCAGTTTATCGTGATCTCACACATCTGTTATCAATGAAGTTGACTGCACAATGAATCTTTCATAATTATACACTTTGTTCGTTATAATTAGAGGATTTGCCAGCATACACAATTCACACACAGTGAGTGCATTACCGCCCACAATCTGTATTTCCGTAAACATGGGCAGTCAATGCGCAACAAAGGTTTGAATTTCACAAACAATTTTATTTGTTGTTAAAACAGCCAACCACACAACACGCTCTTCCGAGCATCACTGGACAGTATAGATACCTAAAAAAAACACTACATAGAGAACATTTCATACAGCTAACATCTGCTGCAGCCACCTACGGGACCAACGCTACTATCTTAGCAGCAAGGCACGCAGTAATGCCGGCGCTGCTTTATTTTCGTGTTTTGCCGGATTTGTGTATAAAACTCGATAGTGGTTTCATTTGAACATAGGTGGAGCTCACCCCTGGAATTTGCTATTAGCAAAGCAGAAAGAGGCTTTATTCTGTATTGAAACTGTATGATCTTTTTAAGTGTCTGAAGGCAAGTATTTTGTCTTAATGTTTAATTTTATACCTGAATGAACTTTTAGTAGGTAAGAATCTCATATTTTTTTTTACTTTTAAGTCAACATGAAATCAAAATGGACCCAATATACTTCAATGCAAGTGTTTTTGTGTTTTTTTTTTATTTAAAAAAAAAAAGTTATAACTTGCTCCACCTCAAACTATTGTCTTTGTTGGCTGATTTCACCAACACCACCTAAATTTAGGCCTATGAGTGCTGGTTGTGTTTTGTTGACTTTAAGCGGTCAACCATTTTTGAAGAAAAAAAAAACTTGTAACAAATGGTTATATAGTGGCAGTTCTTTTCACAGATTGTCAATGTGCTATAGCAATGTTAAATGTAAATTACCAATCTTAGGCTTTCAGTATTAAAAGAAGTATGATGATCTTAAATCTGTAACTTTCGATTTACTGCATTACTTTTTGTTGGGCTAAACTTTTCAATTGAACTTTGAAAAAAAAAGAGAAGAAAATTGATTGCTCATTCAGGCACTGCCTCAATTTCATCCAATTAACTATCACATTGCTTGTTCTGACAAGCGTCTTAGGCTATATCTGATGAACATCATAATTACAATAAATTCAGAAGTCTAGAATTGATCTGTGATTGCTAAATAGTTAAAAAAATAGCATTTAAAAGAAAACAATCTGAAATCATATCTCTTTGAATGTAAAAAACACTTTTTAAAATATGGTTTGTTTAATAAAGGAAAACTACTCATAAATGCTTAATTCTAAGTTCCAAGAACTTAATTTTTAGAGCTATTTAATTATCATTTTGATATAATTTTTAGAAAGATTTACATTAATTTTGTTAAAAATAATGTTCTATACATGTTGTAAGAATTTGTAATTGCCCATTGGGCTAGGAAGGTTTTTGTCTATTAATAAAGTACAAAGCCCTTTGTCATAATCATAAGTTTAGCGCATCCAACAGTAAGCTCAACTTTGAGACAATTCTGTTTCGATCTAATATTTGAACCCTTTTTTTTTTATCTTGGCAGCGACATTGGAATGCAATGTAATGGTATTTGACTAATGAATACATTACCCTCTCTTCCTTTTCCTATGTCACCTCTGGCACCTGTGGATCTGCGTGTTGGAACTGTTTCACCGATTGTTTTCCTTGGATCCCACTTAAATAATACTTTTGCTCAAAATATGAACTCATGGAACTCGTTACCCTTTATTGCTTTTCTCCCATTCCCATGGATGTAAACTCCATAATTTCTACAAAACTAAATCCCCAACTGATACATAACTGAAAACGGTCTGTTTAGCGCAATGAGCGTTTCCCACAAGGTGGGCCCGGTGGTCCAAGGGGCATGGGTGCTGGAAACCCAGGATTTGGCAGGGTCCGTGAGGAATATGATGGAGCTGCCAAGAAGCCTCGCTTCTGATCTGGCACTTTAAAAGCAAAGTTTGTGTATGGAATTCCAGAGGCTCAGTTCTGGAGTCACAATTGATGTATTTAAGTTTGAAGAATTTTCTTGCAATTTTAGCCTGAAAACTCATCCCATTTGTGGCAAGATCTTTTTCGTCCTATTTTTATTTTGTATTCTTAATAGGTTTAATAAAACCATTGAGGTCAGCGCTGGCTTAGTGCTGCTAACATGTAATCCACTTTCTAATTAGTCTTTATCTTGTCATGTTACTTGTGTTATGCTGGTGAATATTGTAAATTTGTTCTGATCTTTCTATGGCTGTGTTCTGTGCCATTCACATTTAAAATAATACATGTACATTTTCAATAAAGAGTGCAGTTGGTTCTCCCAAACCCCATTCAGGTGTTGTTGGCACAATGTTTAATTTTGTGATGTGTCGGGCATCTAACACCTGACACATCATACACCCATAAGCATCTAGGACATTCTCTTAATCTCTCTTAATCTGCCTGGAGTTTTACTTAATGAAACCTTTAGGGCTGCCCCCGACTAAAGATTTTTCTAATCGACTAGTATTCGTTCATTGAGGCATTTGTTGACTAATCTGGCTTTTACATTAATTTAAGTATATACTGAGCATTTAATATATGGACGTAATATATACTATCTATTTTATTCCGTGCTCATAGCAACAAGACATTTTAATTTATTAATGAACTAGTGTTTAAGTCCATTTCATCTGTAAAGATGAGTTTGACTATCCCTACTCGCCATCTCTGCGGTTTAGTGGCTGGATGCGCCTTTAGAGAGAAGCGCACTTTTCATATAGATTATATTTCAGAGTACTTAAGTTTGAATTGACTCATTTAAAAGTAGACATTTCAAGCTTTCTGTAGTATTTCTCATGTCTGTGATGGAAGTAGCCTATATACTGAGTTTTGGTTCATTTTTGACGCGCTCCAGTTCACGGAAGCCGAGAGGGCAGAAAGCACATCATGTTTGTTTTCTCTATTTTTAAAAAGCACTGTTTTGTTGTGAGTTTACACAAGTAAAAGTACTCTTACATTTTTGATATTTTACTCTTTTCTGGATGACAAAAAATTTATTTATTTCACTGATAAAGGCCTGCAGTCATTGCCATGATAGCTTTGGGTGTGCCTAATAGCACATTTATCTAGGTTAACATTAGAGTGAGCAACCATGTAAAGTAGCTACTACTTGCATGTTTCAAATGCCATATTTGAGGTGGTGTTCCGATACTACTATCGGAAATGCCGCCTATACCAATAAAAATTCTGGCATCGGTATCGGCGAGTACTTCTATCCGCGTACCGATCCGAAACCATTTTCTTAAACAATGTCTAGTTATACACGCTAGCTTTGCTTACCGCTGCAAAACGGAGATCAATTCTACTTCGCTGCTCTAAACAGTGGTTGCTTGTGGAAACACGGGAAGTCGTGCTGTTGCCACAAGAAAACACGCGCAGATGCGCCCTGGCATAATGTCCGCAGTTTGGCTGTATTTCAGACTGGACCAACCAGCCAATAAAACGGCGACATGTCTCAAATGTCGTTTATTGATCTTCAGTTATAAAGAGATTATTTTCTTATGTTATTCATATAATCTTTTTAGATTCCTAGATTTATTTGTTGCACTTTTATTTATTTATATATATATATATATATATATATATTAGTTATTTTGTAAATCTAAAATCTTTTTTTAGTTTACAGTATTAGATGTGTAGCTGCATTTTAAGTTCTTTTTCACTTAAGATAAATATTGCTATGAAATGCAATTCAGATAATAATAATACTCTAGTTCGCTCAATGTATTTGACCATGTTTAATTTAGGAATAAGTTTGAAGCACACCATAATAATTCTATCAATTCATACAGTGCTAGAATGAATTGCAGCTGAATAGATACTGGACACACCCAGGTATCGGATCAGTACTTGGTATCGGCCGATACCCTGAGTCCAGGTATCGGGAAAAGAAAAAGGGTATCGGAACATCTCTAATTTGAGGTTGATGGATAATGGGCAAACCTTTGGATTATCACAAGCACCCACAGTTAATGATCTGTCCCTCACAGACGTCACTATCTGTGGCTTTTTTTAAAATTATTATTATTTATTTTATTTTTTTACGGCTAACAGAGTAATACAATTTGTCGAGTATTAGGGGGCAGCCCTAGATATTTTTCTATTTATAGTTAAAAGTTTAGATTTAGCATTGCCATTGTACAACTTGGCTATTAAGTTAAATATGGATTGCTGGTGTGGCATCAATTTAGTTTTATTGTTTGGAATTATAATTTCAACAGGATGACTTGGTTTCATTTCAAATCTCACCCAAGATTGGTTCTATAGCAAGAACACGCATTGTTTTGATTTCAATCATAAGTTATAGTTATAAATTAAATTAAATAATGACAAAACAGGTTAACTGTGGATCGTAATCACCGAAAAAAGTATTCTACTAATCTATTTTATAATTATAAATGTTTTTCTTTATCAAGTTTATACTGGCAAACCAGTAGTGAGTTTTTTTTTAGTTTTTTGCTACCACCTATAGTTTAATTGGGTTATTTACACCAAGTGGTAATGAGGAAGAAATTATTTGAAACATTTTTCTAGTGTACTCCCACCGTCATCTCCCAATGGAAAGCAAACCATTGGATAAGCTGTGGACCAGTTGGAATGGAACAGATCAATGTTTTGATATCACCATTTTACTGTCTTTTTAAAAATCTTTTTTTTTATTATATATAACTTTTTTGCTCTTGTCAGAATATTTGGAAAATTTAATGGAAATCATCTGATTAATATTTGTTGGAAAATTTCTTTGTGAAATAATGGGAAAACAGATTAAATTTACTCTTTGGAAAAAATCATTGATGCCTGCCATGTCCGGGACTGCGGACAGTTGATTCACAAGCAATGCCTGTAAATTTTTATGAAACCAAAAGGGATTGGAAAAACAAACTAATCCGAGTTTGTTTTTGGATGGCAATCTTAACTTTCACAAACATTACAAATCTGATTTTGGTTACATGATTTACAAGTATCCATTTAAAAAGTATACTGCTGTCATTGTAGGTTTATTACTCAAACTATAACATTTTCTTTTACATGATAATAGGTCTGGGTGTTGTATAGACTAAGGTATGTAGATATAATTTCACAAAAAGTCTTATGTGACAAGTTATTACCATTTATTCCTGGAGTGAGCTTCTGTGGGAAAGTGCAAGATCCAATTTGTCTTCAACATGAGACATGCTTGATATTAAGTTGCTCTGATGTTCGAGATGTTTTCCTCACTTCCTCACTTGCATTGAGGTTTATCCTGACCGCAAGAAAGTCTTCAACTTTTTTGAACCAGCACTGTTGTGCGCATGAATGTCCTATAGATGGCTTGCAATAATTCTGAAATATTTTAGACACATTTTACAAAGATTTTTTAGCCTCTTTAAAGTTGTACATATGGTACAGGCAAGTAGTAACTGTAAAGAGACTATTGTAATGGATAAAACTAATGTATTATTATAATTACTATAAGATGAGAATGTTCTTTTCAACTACTTACCAATTAACATTAGTCTTTGCTTTTGTTTGTTTTTTTTTTTTGTTTGTTTTTTTACTACACTTTTTTTTTTTAACCCCCTTTTAGCTGTGAATGTATATGACCATCCAGTGAATATTAGTTTCTGTTTCTCTCAATTCTGATTTCGTTTTAACTCCCATGGTAGCCAATGTAGTGCAAGATTAACATGGCTTCCAGTTTGACCTCGTCCATGAGTGTTAACTCAAACGTAAACACGAAAGGCAAAGCTTGAATTAACGGTATGTCCCTCTTCGCCTAATGTACTTTCAAGATGGAGGGGCAACATGGCGACCGACATTAGAACCTCTTACCCGTATTTATTTTCAATAGCATATTATACACTCACGAGAATACTTTATTACTTGAACGAAATAAATATACATTGAGCACATATATTTTTGAAAGAACTAAGTGTTTTTAGCTAAGAATAAACTAAAAGAGTTACACAGTGTAGCTTTAAGAAGCAATTTTAGGATGTAATATTTATATTTAAACTTATTTTGCACAATTAACAGCCTAGCCTACATGGATTCATCCACTGTATGTTTTCATAGCCTTCAATTTGCACATTGTTTGCAGAACAACATTTTGCAGGATATGAAATAACTTAATATACTGTATATACACACCCAAAAAAATCACCCAGCTCTAGTTATTATACAAGTAGAACTAGTAAAAGTCGACTAATTGTGCAGTGGTTACAGGGACACATACTTATTCAACAAGTAGCATGTTACTTGTGGTGATTTTAATTTCTACCATTTTATCCTTTTCTAGTTACGATGGATGACTCGTTGAAATCTTCAAAATATTGCTACCTATCTATGTTTGAAAGCACGGTTTAAATGGTTAGATTTAGCTTGTGTAGTATCCACAGCACCACCTCAATGTTTCTGTTTCAATGTATTTTGTTTTGCCAGTCAAACCAAAATCAATTTGCATAGTTGGTAGCATTATTGATGTGGCAAGACAATGAAATTGCTTGCTTTCCTTTACCCTCCATGTCTCTTTGAATGTTTTGAGGTGCTGCATAGAATGTTATTTCTCTAAATTTGCAATACCTTAATGGGAACCATTAGTGTAAGCATCGGAGCAAGGCCAGTTGCAGGTTAGCTTGTAAATGATGAGCAAAATACAAAATCGATTTGAATAATGTAAACTACAAATCAAAATAAACAAGTAGCAAGGCTTGTTTTGTGTATAACACAAGCTATTCATTCTCTTCATTCATTCTCTAGAGTAATTTATAACGTTGCTTTTTTTCAGATTAAAACTTGACTTATATATTACAATATCATTCATTTAAAATTATATTTTTGGGGAGAGAAACAAATTGACATCAACATGACAACATCCCACCAAGCCGTTATTTTGGAATGAGTGCTTTACCAATTTAAATTGTCTTCTCCACCAAGTAACTATTAACACTGTCGAGCTTTTCTTCTAACTGTTCTAAATGTTCTGCTGCTCTTAAATTTGGAGACGGGCAATTAATTTGACAATTATCTCACTATTAAATTTATATCTAGAAGTTATTAATATAATTGCTAAATTAATTTAAATTCACTTTGCATGATGTGAGACCTTTTAAGTGGACCAGATTTCTGTGTAAAAAAAAATGTCCTTATTCCTGACCCATGCATGCCATTGGTCATTTACCAGGTCACACTATTTTGATATTGCCTTTTGGAGTGAGGGCACTGCTACCTATTAGCTGACGTGCTTCTACATTGTTTATTTTTTTCTGCATTTAAAAAAGTAATGGTAGTGTAATTTAAACAAATATTT